TCAGCTGGTATAATCTCAACTGATTTCAACAAAAAGATCTCAGCTGGTGTAAATGGTAGCATTTGCGTTGCTTGTCTGGCTGTCAATCTTGAAGACAATATGGGTGGTGACATTGATGGTCAAGAGAAGGCGGCCAGTGCCCGAAAGAATACTTCTGACTTCGACCCTAGGCGACAAGAAGACCTAGGTAACCTTGCATGAACTTATATAAGTTGAGCAAATTTTGGCAAATCTTTTATAGATTTATTAGAACTTTAGGCTTTTCCTTTCTGGCACCTTGCGTCAACGTCACAAGGCGTGTTGCTGCTGAGGTATACTGGTTCCACTTTTATCGATAATGGGAGACAATTAACCACGGCCCAAACTCCAACCTCATAGTCATTCAAAACATTTCACAATTTTCCTTTCTCCCCTTGCAAATCCCAAAGACGTCGAAGTCTGGTATCACAATACTGTGAGTATTTATTTGACCGGTCTCTCCTATATTTCTAACCACTCCAGTAATCTCTCTCTAGTCACCAGCCTGTCGGCGCCGCCACACAGTCAGGTCGTGTGGCCAACAACGTCGCCCAAGATGGATCAAAAGGCAATCGCACTGGTTTTGAATATCAACGAAGGAACAGCAGATATCCATGGTATTGGGGTTGACGTCTGCAAAGACGTGCCCGTGCATGATATCACTCCGACCAGGATGTACCAGTTCTGTGAAGCTATCGCTGCCGACATCTTTCACGGGGCGGGAATTCAGAAACATGAGGCTGCGGAATGTTTCAGTGCCATGACTGAACGAATCTACAAAGGCGGGCTGCTCGAGGATTCCACTCTTGAGCGTTACAGAGGCATGACCTTTCTTAAACACAGTTTATTGACATTCATGACAATACAGGCGAGGACAGAGAAGACTGTCTGCCCACCAGCAAGTGTCATGGGCTCTATAATTGCAGCAATTGCCTACCAAAAGCTTCAGCCTGCCACTGAAGGGTTCCTTCGACAGAATGAAGATTTTGTCAAACTGTTCGGCGAGCTTAACGCAATCCAGTGGCTGCCGGTTGCTATTCAAGTGTGGTCCAAGGTCAAGGGACGCACGTTCGCCATTGAACTGGATGAAAACAGGCAGAAGCCTGTCGCAGCACTTCGAAAGGTTGATGGTAAATCGCTTTGGGTCGTCACCACTAGAATGCCCGACATGAATAGATACGAGGACATCTTTCGCAAAACGTTTTACCCAGCTATTCCAGAGTCTGGCCCGGCAGTTCCAAAGCTAGAGCCAAACGAGGACCCTCTTCAATCAATTGAGCCTAACGACACATCGAACGAGCCCATTCCTCTAAGCGACGACGACGAGATGGAGGACAATGCCATCACATTACGCGACTATACTCGACAGATGAAGAGTCTCGGAAAGAGACTGGCAACTCCCGACCGAGCCATTGTCAAACGACTCAGAAGAGAAATTCTTAAGAACCCAGATCAGCCCCAGGCTAAAGAACAGCATGTCGACGTTGAAGAATTGCTCAGATCCAACCTGGAGAACAACATCAAGCACGCTGTGAAAGAAGCCATCGCCGACGTGAGACAGACACAAGAACATTTCGACACCTATAGTCGTTACAAGGATGTTTGGAAGATCTGCCTTTGGCACCATGGCGAAATACCGGACAGTCTTCGTGATCTTGTCACGCATCACTGTACTCCTAGTCAGGTTTTCCACCTGACGGAGCTTGAGAAGGAACATCTTGCTGAGATTTAAATGGAGGTTGAAGTTTGATGAAATTTTGTAGTCCTTGGCCAGATGGAGGATCTAGAGCATAAGGCAGAAAACGAAGCAGGTGGAAGACCATCCAGAGCCATCTCATGGAAACTCAAAAAGGATTATTGAACACTGGTGGTCTTCAAAATAATGTAATGGCGTACAGGACTATGTCCACTTTGCGAAGAGTCATAGTTTTTAAAGCTTAAGTACAATCGTCTCACCTCCTAACCATGATATGAAACATCCTTGAACATATTTGTGACTCTGTCACTCCGGTGTTGCACTCTGGCTCAATGGCAAGCAATCTGAGCTTGCTACAAATCGTCCTCGTGCATTGCCTTTTCTTCCATTCTCTCTCTCTTGAACGAAGGATGAGTGGGAGTGAGCCAGTATGGTGCCCGAGAGCGTTCTCACTCTAATGAAATTGCAAAGATATGTATCTCTGCGGTGTAATTGAACAGTGGTGCAAGGAACACTGCCTAGCAGTGCCTGTGGAACAGTGATTGCACATTGATGTTCCGCAGTCAGTAGCGCAGCTGCATAAGGTATATAGGCCCAAGTTCCATGCCTCTATACAAACCGGGATCCGAAAGTTTGGAGCATGTGGTCAGGTAGCCACGCGAAAACTCCTAAAGCAATTTAGAATGTGCTCCTTCGGGGGTACACCTTCGACCCCAGTCAAAGACTCAATCCTGGCCAGTTTTTTGCCTTTTTTAATGCTTTGACTTCCTGACAGTTCCTGTTCAGACTGACCAAACTATATATTCCGTTCTGATTATAATGTTCACTGCATACTTTAGTCTTATATATTAAGACTAGCTGCATAGCGGTAGTTCGCGAGGTGTAATATTATTCCACACATCACCAAATCGGACCTCACACATAATATCACGTTTCACACTCCATCAGCACTTCTTTCAACAGTTCAGCTTTGCGGACCACACAGATCACACTCAATTATGAAGGTTATAATCATAAAGCACAAATAGCCCTGGTTTCGCTCCACACGCTGTGGCTTTCGACCACGCCTTCTTCTCGCCCGCGACGCGGTTTCCCTCCACCGAAGATCGCATTCGGATAACTTACCAGACGCACCAATAGATCCTGGGTCTATCAAACTCAAATTCCACCTCACGCCCACGCACTCGCTTCCAGCGACAGACCGACGACTCTGAGTACATCCTTGGTCCTGACCGCATGGGGGGTTTCCTCGTTGAAAGGGATCGCGCTTTGTTACCTCAGTGAAGTAGATACTGATAGTCAGTGAGGACATCAGGGAGAGTCCTTGGACGTGTAAATGCGTTTGTGAGCTCTCCGAGTCTTGCACCAGTTCCATTCGGCATCGGTCTCAAGAGCATTATTTGGTAACTCACACCAACGTCAACGAGGAGGCAAGACGGGAGAAGCAAGAAACATCAGGACCTTGATGTTAAAAGACTAGATACTTCGACAGATTCAATATAACATAGAGGGTCTCCAAATTGGTCTTTGGGGCGCCTTTTCAATGGCTAGAATTGTGTCCTGGTTTTGCAAGCAGCCTCTAGTTTCAACGTAGCCATGCTCACAAGATCGGGATTTTGAGGGTTGGCAAACGGCTTTCCAAACCCGTTGATGGCTAGTCGATCACTATAAGTCAGACTGGCTGTGATGTAGCCGAAGGACCCTCAGTTGCTGATCTGAGGAGGTTTGTTCCTGATGAAGGGCGGGACGTGGTGGTACGAGCAGAAGATCTTACCGCGAGGCAACTTGACGAAGATCTTATGGTGGATTTTCGGGAAGGTTATGTTTATGCCCCTGTTCTCTTTGGTTTACGGTTAGAAAAGTGTTTTCCGTTCATGACACGAGTATCACCTGAACTTATACTCGTGATAAACGCCGAACAGACACTCGCTGAACTTGGGATCGGGATGATTTGGGAATTGCAGCGCATAGTCAGAGTATGGATCATCGAACTCGGAACTATTGGAGATGTGGATATGAACCTTGCTTCCTACCCAGAGCAAGCACTTGACTGAGTATCTCGCACTCCTGAGCTTGTTGCAGTAGACAATGTTTTCTTTGTCGTTGTTCGTTGCTTTGAAGCCCAGACCAGGATCTACCACTGGCTGAGGCCTAGCGTTCGTCGCGCTCCATTTCTTGAGTATTTAAAAGAAGAAAAAGAATCAGAACAGGAATCTTCTCGTGGAGAGGTTGAAGAGGTGAGGTTGTCGTGAGAAGTTAGATTTGTGGGTCATGCTGATGGTGATAGGACGGAGGCCACTTGGGGTCCACAACAACCGACTACATTCCTTCAACTCATCTCAACCCTGAAGAGCACTCAGAGTTAAGGCACACTTTATGTATTTTTTATTATTCTAATGAAGCTACCTACAGCGGTTCTAGGAGCTACACCACCCCTCAACACTTTGAGCAAGAGAGAAGAGATCCTGCATCACAGCAACCTGGCTCGACAGCTCAACGTCAATGGAGCGTTCACCAAGACGGCTCATTAGGCCAGCCTGATTTTGGTGGCAATGCTTCTCGGCACATATCATGGTACTTTACCACTCACTCGGGCATCCTGGCAGTCGACATGAAAGGTTCATTTTCAGAATTGATTTAGGGCTTCATAAGTCTTTCCACACAAGTCAAATACTCCCACCACAACGTCAACTTCAATCCGCATCGTAAAGTGTCTACTGGTAGATGTTTCAGCTCCTGTTGTAATGGAATTCAATCTTGCGCAATCAGCCTGAGTATCATTGTGGCCAATCTTCGCCGATCATTTCGGTAAGGTAATACACGCGGCCGCTCCCAGAAATTCTCGAAGTCTCAGCTCCTGCGCCCCATCTTCTTCTCCTCTCAGTGAGTGACAAATGATTCTGGATGAAGAAATGATGTAAGGACGCGCTTGTGTGTGTAAGAGCTGCTGTTGGAGTTTCAAGTGAATAAACAGAAATCCTGAAAATGAGGATCTATGGATTCAGGGATACTTGATCGTATATTAAACAATCGTGCTTTCTCTTTGTCTCGTCTTACCGCCAAATTACTATTTGATGCAGAACTCGTCACTCATCAGCACGACAAAGTGTGGTGTGACGCCTTTGGCAGTAGGTCAAGTTCACCTTTCACGCGTGCGGTGGGGAGTTTGATATAAAGTCGCATATGCCATATCGTAGTTCATTAGGCACAGCAACAAAGCGCCAAATACACGTCGTTAAATCGCCATATGTAAGCCATGGTACGCCTCCCAACCTCCATCAATAAACCCCGGTTGGTGTAATCGGTAGCACATGGCTGTATACCACGGTCGTTTCGAGAACACCGTTCTGTTATTATACGGATACACCAGCGAAGCTCAGAGGTTCGAATCCTCTATCTTGGGTTCTCTTTTTGCCCATTTATGCCAAAACGCCATTCCTGAGTTTCAATAACACCACTTGACCCCGGTTGGTGCAGTTGGTTAGCACATTGTCTTTGTCGACGGTTACCCCCTGTGGTGCCGTACAAACTACTGCTGTTAGGCAAAGACAAATATCACGAGTTCAAATCTTGTACTGGGCATTTCCTCTTTGTATTTGCTGTCATATGACAGACATACTTGCATGGATGGACACTGTCTGCGCTGGAACTCCTGTTACATTAACTGGTTACCACAAAGACTCCGACGCCAATGCAGATAGATGTTGTTTTACTTTACAGAATAAGATGAAGAAAAACTCGCGCCCTTTGTGACAAAGCTTAGAATTGTTTTAATGTGGACGAGTGTGAAGCGCCTCAGCGTGGTTGTTATGTGGCCTTCACAAATCGTCTGCGAAGCCAGTTCATTCTAACAATAATAATTTTGCTGTCTCATCTGCCTTTGATGCAGGCAAGTTCATTATGACATTTGGTATAGTCAATTTGTGTTTATTCAATGTTTTCCACAGACGGTTTGTTGGATTGGAGTAGCTTGAAATATCGCGTGTTGCCAACAGCAGTTCAGTCACCCGACACCCGAAGGGTTAAAACAGCTAAAGCTTGGCCACCAAATTCTTCCTTGCTTCCTTCTCCTTATCTCTCAGCAACCTTCGCAGAATCTTGCCGCTGGGGCTCTTTGGGATTGTTTTGATGAACTCAACGCCACCTCCAAGCCACTTGTATCTTTGCTTGTGATCTTCAACATGTTTGCAGATTGCGCGAGCAACAACATCATCGTATTGTCCGCCACAAGCATCCGACTTGACTATGTATGCTTTGGGTACCTCGCCGGCCTTGTCGTTGGGTGTTTGGATGACAGCGCAGTCTGAGACGTATGGGTGTGAGAGGAAATGAGCTTCGAGCTCTGCGGGGGCAACTTGGTGACCCTGTGTACATCTCAGTCGCTATTGCTGAAGATTTGAGTTTGATAGGATTATGAAGCAAACTTACGTTGACCTTGATAAGCTCCTTGAGTCGGTCCACAACTACGAGATGTTCGTTCCCAGAAGGCGCTAGCCGAATGAGAACCTCATCGCCGGTGAAGGATCTCTGGTAAGGAAATGGTTTCATCAATTGGGGTATGCTGGTTAACCCAGCTGTCCACAGTCTCATTCACCCTATGAAAGGGGAGATCGAAGTCAACCCCGGTGACAGGGGTGCTCGAACCGGACAGAATACTGATCTGTAGGACTTTGTATCTGCTGTTCACCTCAGACAGGTGACTTTGCATGGCGGGACGGTCGCAAAATGGAACCTTGCAGCATTAAAGGTGAAGCCGCGAAGCAGCCCAATCGCGATGTGGCATAGCGTCGATAAGCTTCACATCTCTTCGTGTCGACTGATATAGAAGCAAAGAGAGTTGTGATGGAAAACAATGAATCCCTGTGTTGAAGGTCAAAATATGAGAGGAGTGATCGTGAAGAAGAAGGCCTCAAAGCTTGAGCGGATGAGGGAGGAATCAGAGTTGCTGAAGGACCTCGTTGGTCATTTAGGTCCAAGTGATGCCATCTTCATGGGATTAGGATCCCTACCATGGTCTCTCTCTGCCTGGTGAGTCTATTATCAGTAGGTACCTCGAAGGGCTTGCTGGCATAGGATAGAACATAAAAGGCTAAAGACGATGGGAGGGTTCATGGGAAGCGCGAAAGAAGTAGGCGTGCCAGGTGCAGTAGCCACAGGTGACTCCAAGGCTTCTACCAGCGGCAAGGTCTATTTGCCGTGGTTTAAGTTGACCTTATGGATAAGGTCTAAAAGGCAGATGATATCCGCGAAGTGAATCAGGGGGCATTGATAGATGCCAAGTGTAGTAGTATGGTGATAAACATGTAAGATGCAGGCCACCAGTCGTTAGTCATGAAGCTGCATCTGCACCTGTTGCCCTCAGTGTCAACGTGAGTCATGTCTCGTGATCCGGGTCGCGGAAGAAGGACAGGCGTATTTCCGTATTGTTGATATTGATGGCGAGGATGGGAAATGAATGATCTTCGTAGCTCACTCGTCTGCATCACAGATGATGAGATTGCAGCCTATCTGACGGGGATGAGAGGCAAGGTTGGGGGGTTGTATCTTGCCTGTGCCGGAACATCCATTAACAAAGTAGAGGCCATTTGGTATGGCCTCTGGTCCATTGAAGGTAGCCGGATGTTCTTTACTTCAGGTTGCAGAAGATGCTGTCAACGGCATGTTTCTCGACGGCAGGAGCAATATGACTTGCTTCGAAGGCCCATAGGGTCGTTTACATGTTGAGGGGGGCGTGACTCAAGGTGTGTGTTTGTTTGGAAGGAATCCAAGGAGCCGGGACTTCAATCATGATCGTCGGGTTTCGGAAGCCATCATCAGCCCTACCTTCCTTTTGCAGCTCTGAGTATCTGCTGTTCGTTGCGCAACGTGGAGGATTTTGAAGTGATTCTGCTGTCGAGTTGGAGCGGGGGACTGGAAGCAGCCTTTTTATCCGTCAAGAAATGTGTTTCGAGCTATCATGTAGGTAGTTAGTTTACTGCCTGAATTGTGTTTTTGAGAGTGTATTTTTGAGCTGATACCTACATCGCGCGCCTTACCTCGCTGTTTGTTGTGTCAATACCCCCTGAGAAAAGGTGCGCGAGATTGTCGGCATCGTGGTTCCAATATGAGAAACACTTGTTCGTTGTTGCCCCTTCGGATGCCTCGAGGCTTTTGGGCAGGTAGTTCAAGGGTTTCCTCAGCCAAGTTCCAGGTGGTCATGTCCTTCAAGCATACTTGGTGGTATATTTGGGCGCTGTACTGGTTGTCGGAGTACTCTCGGATTCGGATAGCGATACTATTGCTGTTCCATTTGTTGCCAGGCCATCGACCTTGGCTACACTTGAACTTTCCAATGCGCTTGGTGTCGTGGACTTGCTTGATGCCGATCTTTTGGTCGTTTTGATGAAATGTGTAGTGGAGGTCGTCTTCTTCAAGATGCGCAGCAAAGTAATCGTGGAGCTTGCGGTAGAACAATAGATACCAGAGGTGTTTCGCTCTTTGGCATGCGGTGCCACATTAAGGCGTTATGCCTCATCCATGAGCCCAGGCACTGTGGTTCTCACTATATTAAGGAAAACCGCATCGCCTTGATTACCTTGGGCTTTGTCTGCCGTCAAAACTTCCGTCCTCTCCTATGAGTCAATTGGCTACTGTTTGACCGCGACCAGAATCACCGTTGTCATTTCTCTTGAATACGGGGCTTCGTCCTTATCACCGACCATATTCCACCCGAGTGTCGAACTCGTCTAGCCACAGTACTGTCAATAATGCCATTCTCCATGTAAGGGAAGAACAAAGGCGATAACGGCCGTGTCGGAATCTGGTGAGATCTGCAGTTCAAGAAGTAGATATCGGCCCAGGTTATTATCAAGGCCTAAGAGTAGTTCTTTGCCCTTGACAGTGAGTTTGTCGTGAGTTGGTTTGAAGCCTTCTGGTGGTAGCTCGATTGAGACAGTTTCGAGTCCGTTGTCGCGAGATTAGGGCTGTACCAGCTCGAGATACTGCGATCTGGGTTGCGAGAGAATGAAATGCGAATGCCCTTGTTGAGTTTCTAGGTGAGGTTGAGACTGCACTGGGGTGAATGTTTTTAGTCGAGGCTGTAGAGAATAAGAGATGTGGAAGCTATACCTTAAGGATGGGAGGTTGAGAAGTTGGATGCCGAAGGTTCTAGGAACGAGTTGCAACCAAGAGTGGAGACTACTTATCTAATCCAAAGAGTTGCAACCAGGGTAGGTGCGGTATGTATGTTCTTCATTGGACGGTTCCTTTGAGTTATTGTGAAGAACAGGAAGGTCTAAGTCGACCAGCCCTCCCTCCTTTGCCATATGTCGAGGAGACGAGGCAGGAAGTCGGCTGAGAGCTTGCATCCAATATCGAGAAATCCTGACCGGGCATATCTTAGCGCGATTTCCCTTATCTAAAGCGAGCCCCCAAGACAGGTAAATTAGTCTCGCCTTAGCTCAGCCATCTCAGCTAACCTTAGTAATTTCAAGGTCTCCTAAAACCTCATTCTCAAGCCCACTTCGGCATCACATTTATCACCACACAGAATTTAGCTGCCTCCTATCCCTATTGCAACGAATGTCGCAGATATTTCGAAAGCGATGCCAAAGTAAAAGAACAACACAACTCGAAATGGCATTACAATCACATATACCACGCCTGCGATGAAAGATTCCCATCAGAGTTAGAGCTACTCCAAGTGTGTTCTTCCTCTTGGACTAGTAGAGATTCTGACCTGTCCGATCTTCATAGCATAAAAGTAGTCACACAGAAACCAGAACCCCCAGTCTGCTGCATCGGTTGCGAAAAGAAAGGTTGTGGGCCAGATGGGCAATTTGCAGTTGAGACTTGTGGCCGAGAGCTTGTATCATCACATAGAAATCAGCATGGTTGGCGTTACGAAATGAAAAACAGCGATGGACCGACCAACGTCAAGATGGAAGATCATGATTACCACAAGTGCACGGTTGGGGTGATTTAGGCAGGACTTCATATGAGAGGTCTAGGTGGATGGGTCTGACCTAGATCCTCTTCCTGGTGGTTTTCGATACGGTTGAGTTTTGATGATTGTATAGGATGAGTTCGAGCTTTCTCTGGGTTACACAACAAGCGGGATTTCATTGTAATGAAGAGTAAGGTCTAAGTTAATGAGCCTAACCGTAACCAAAGAAAGGTTTCTCAAGAGCATTTTGTCTTCCAAGGCCCTTGGAGTCGTTTCGAAGCATGCCGTCGTGGTCTTCGAAAGTGATACTTGTGATAATTACCAGTGGCTTAGTCTTCCCTGGGATAATTTAGCACTGTCCGGCATGAGAGGTGCTCCATTGCATCCTGACCCTGATCGTGCTCGTTCGGCTTTTGGATGACCGAAAGTGTGCAATAATTGACGTTTTCTAATCCTTTGAATCATAATAAATCATATAT